GAATTGACCATCAGGGATTAATAACACATCTGAATCTCATAAAATCAATTTCATTGACAGTTTTTAGCTTTTAAACAATTAATGCTAGTCCATTTATATGTCAAATAATCTCTGCTTGGTTTCATTTTATAGTTTAGAGGGCGTAATCACAAACAGAGAGGGAACAATGAATGACTGAAATGAGATGGATCGCACTAAGGCCATGTTTAGAAGAATGATGAACATGATGACTGGTTTGGTCTTTGTTTTCTTCTTGTGGTTTTTGTTAATGGTCTGTCATGTGTACGTTTATATTTTGTGTGTGTTGTTTAAATGTTATAAAAAATAAAAGATACTATTTTGACTTATTTTTTTTAAAGCTAATTGATTAACAAACTATTACTGATTAGTCTTAAATCATGACAATGTTTCTGCTGAAATTATTTCTTCAGAATTTATGAACAAAATGATCTCCTACCAACAGCTGAAACACAATAGAGAAGATTTATATCATTGTTTCATCAACAACAACAAAAACATCTGTTGTTTTTTATTTAGGCTACAATCCACACTGTTTATAAGCGTTAAATTGTAGTTTTTAACTCTTACCTTTACAAAGATCTTCAATCTTTTGGATGTCCCTGGTAGAGCTGACCTGGTTGCTATGGTTACAGATGACTGAGCCGTTCTCCAGGTAGACGTCCAGAGAAGCACCAGGTGTGATGATCTCTGCTCGCTCTCCTCCCGTGAGAGCAGGTTTGGTTGTCACATGTGAACGTGTGTTGATGAGAGAGTCCTCAGTGCTGCAGATCACTGTGACCTTAGTGGAGTCTGAGCTGCAGAGTTTCACTGTCAGCTTCACTCCAGACACTGGATCTGCAAGAAGCAAAGCAAGTGTGATGACTTTTTTTAAAACAGGGAACGACTCTGTATCAACATTTTCAAATTAAAGAAACGTACCCAGAACTGTGACGCTGTATTCAGCTACAGTGATGTCTATGTCACCAGAAACACTTGCTCTGTGAACTCCACTGTCCCTCTTTTGTACGTTCTTTAACAGTAGAGAGTGAGTTTGTGCAGAAAATTCTGCTCTAGATGTATAATTTTGGGAAATGATTGGTTTACCACCATGAGCTAGTCTCACAACATTAACACTGCCATTGACATTCCATGTAAAGAAATCTGCCTCCTTCAGAACAACAGGTTTCTTCACATCCAGAAGTAAATCTGTTCCTGTCTGCACAAACACAGGAGTCACTGCAGAGAGAAGATAAATAAAAATCATGTGTATGATTAAAAGAACACTTGAATCAATATTTCCATGTTAACAATGTATCACTTGTTTACTTGTATCTTAAAGTTATTGACAAACACAGAAAATGATCACCTGACTGAAGGTTAAAAATACAAACCTAAAACAGGAATGAATGTTTTAACCACACCTGTTTCACAGAGTCAACACCACATCACACCCCACCACACCACCACATCACACCACACCACATCACACCACACCACATCACACACCACACATCACACCACACCCCACCACACCACCACATCACACCACACCACATCACCACATCACACATCACACCCACCACACCCCACCCCACCACACCACACCCCACCCCACCACACCACCACATCACACCACACCACATCACCCCACCACCACATCACACCACATCACACCACACCCCACCCCACCACCACATCACACCACACCCACCCACCACACCACCACATCACCACATCACACATCACACCAACCCCACCCCACCACATCACCACATCACACCCCACCCCACCACACATCACACCACACCACATCACACATCACACCACACCCACCCCACCACATCACACCACCACACTACACACCACCCCACCACACCACCCACACCACCACATCACACCACCACACACACCACACACCACCACATCACACCACACCCCACCCCATACCACACCAACAACAGGAAACATACAAAAAATAAAGTTCTTACCTTGTGTAGCACATAAATGCAGCAGAGAAAAGAAGAGAAGCACGAGGGGCCCCATTCTGTGAAATGAGTGACAAGCTGAAGTGATCTGGCAGTTTACAGGTATAAACCTGTCTAACACTGCCCCTCCAATCACGCAGCATCTACGAGTGAGGTCATTCAGCCATGTGTCCGTGAACTGCATGAAGCAACACTCTAGGTATTCCTCTGAAGCCGGGTTAAAGAAGGCACGGATGGTTTGAACCGTCTTTTTCTTACACTTCACTTCGGCTCTGCAACTGCGGTCAAGCCAGCCGCTCCTCGAGTTTACCTGGTGAAGTGAGCCGCTCCTAAATCTGAATTTCCCACGTCTGGTAAATGCTCCGGACTCCAGAGCGAGCAGGCAGAGAGAACGAGTCCGTTATTAATCTCCTTTTCCTGGCAAAAGTGATGAATGGGGGCTCAGTGCGCACCTGAGCAAAGGAATCTCTCCTGAGCTGAAGGTGTGTGTGTGTTTAGTGCTGCGACCAACATATCTCTTAGCTTACCAGTTAGCTGCTTCCTCGTGGTATAAACAAATGAGACAGACACAAACCCTCCATACTCCAGCAGAGAAACACAACCGGTTACATTGGCACTCCTTTTAGACCAGGGGTGTCCAAAGTGCGGCCCGAGGGCCATTTGCGGCGCTTGAGGGGATTTTTTGCGGCCCCCGTGACTTCAAATGAAGAATCAGAAGATTTTGGCCCGAGGCCTTGATTAAGATCGGCACATTATCTTATTTTTCTTTTTCATGTTAACAAGGGCTGAACAATATTCCTAAAATAGAAAATGTTCGGTAACATGTTGTTGTTGTTTTTTAAAAATCTACAGCTTTTACTATTTTCCACATTTTTTGGTAATCTATGAACAAAAAACATGTACAAAGTTTTTGCAAACAAGCAGACTGTTGTTTAACCATTTAATGACCTGAGCTAAATGAAGAAAGCTTTTCCAAAAATATGAACCACGTTACAGACTGGATTCTGAGAAAAAAACAAATAAAGTAGAACGAAGAAATCTAAATATTTGATTTCCTTTTATTAAAGGGTTTCTTTAGCGAGCCTTTTGATTCTGATCTACAAAGCCTTACTATTTTGTCATCTATATTTTAAAAAACAAAACCTGCGGCCCGCGAGCCACTGTTTTAGACAGTCATGACTCACAGCGATATTTACAGAGGACAAGGACGTAACTGAGTTGAACATTGGGAGGGGGGGGGGGATTTCCGCCTGTGAAGCAGGTCTGAGGACATGCCCTGCATGACCATTTTTACCTGCTCATCTGAACCCTCTCCACAGACTGGAATGCTGCTCTCAGCCTGTCTCTCTCTGTGAGGAAAATCACACGATCACACCTATGGATAACTAAAACTATGTTTTTAGCTGCTTAACAACAACATTTGAACTCTTTGACCTTATTACATGGTCACCTGTGCCTTCTCTCTCTCTCTGATCCCTCTGTCTTCCCTGCTTTTGCTGCTACTTTCACCTTCATTCATTGATATTTATTATCAATAATTATGATATCATATTGGGTGGGTTGTGGTGGCTGGTTTGGATTATTGGGTGGGTTGCAACCCACCCACCCCCCCTATAAATTACGCCTATGACAGAGGATATAATGGATTTCTGCTATATTTACAGTATGTGTAAAATGTCGCACATTCAGCCTATGCGACCAAATTTTGATTTAGGAACATCACTGTATAGAATTGCTGCCTGTTTGTGTCAAAAGTACAGTTGAGCTCAGTACACGACAGTAATGTGAAGGCTGAAACTGATTTGATGCGTTACATTAACGCTCACTGGACTTCTATATTTTCTGTTTACATTGCACTCTGTTTTAGACTGCAAATCATGCACATCTGCACAACTCCTCCATTGCACATTTTGTGTTTTATATTCTATTATATATTTTTTATTGCTTTTTATATTTCTATCTTATTCTTTTTAAGCTGTCAGCAGGAGATCTTGTGTTTTTATTCTGATTCTGAAGAGTCAATAACCCTGTTTCAAGGTGGAAAACCATAACCAGTTTGGAAATCCTTTGTCCTCTTACTGACTAAACTTAAATCTAGAATCCTCTCATAACCTCTTATTGTCACTGTATAAACTTTTATTAAACACTGTAAAAATTAACATTTGAGTATTCATTTCAGGCCCTGATCCTGGGGGCTTTGAGGTCGAGCACATAGCACAGTGGTTGTCCATATCAAACACTGGCAGAAAATAAAATTATATTCAGTCACATAATGTGTACAGTTTAAAGTTTATTGGCAGCTTTGTTTCTGTACAATTATATGTATTTTTTATATATATATATATATTAAATTCTGATTCACAGACAGAGCTGCAGAGAAGTACTGAACGATTCGGTGAACGAATCACTTTATTGAACTGATTGTACTGAGAGAGTCAGTCCTTTAGGTCTTTTTGTGATCTCAGTGAATAACTCAAATGAGGCTTCTCACAGAGATGCAGGCCCAAGTCCATTGTTTGCCTGTCTTAAGCCTGCGTGGCCCAACATAGAGAAGCTTAAGAAGAAAAAATAAACAAGCACCTCTCCCCCAACAATCCTCTGTGGAGAGTTTGACCACTAGTAGCACAATGGAGCTTCTTGTTTTCTTTTCTTTTTTGACTGAACATGTGTGACCTTGTTGTGTTTAAGCTGTGTGTATGTGAGTCTGCAGGGGGCACGGTGGTATATACACACTTATTTCACAGACTTCATGCTATTCCACTGATGGACTGTTAGTGGCGGTAAAACACAGAGAAATGTAGTTTGAGGAGGCAGAGGAAGAATATCAGCAAACATGGATGCAAATAATGAAGAGAGTAAAAATACCTGTACAATTCTGCTTTGACTTCTAAAGTTTATTAGGATAGAAGTGACTCTACAACGCTGGTTCAGTTTCATGTAGAACAACTTAGAGACAGTAATACATGCTTTTATTTCCTCTCGTTTAGATTACTGTAACTCTCAGTACACATGTCTATATCAACAGAGTCTACACAAGTTACAGCTGGTCCAGAACGCAGCAGCCCGACTCCTCACCAAAACTAAAAAGAGAGACCACATCACTCCTGTTTTAGCCTCCCTTCATTAGCTCCCAGTACATTTTAGAATTGATTTTAAGGGTTTTTTGTTCACTTATAAAGCACGCTCTGGACTAGCACCAAAGTAAATATCTGATCTACTTACATGCCCGGTCGTAACCTGAGGTCATCAATCAGCCAAAGCACTGCTCGCCATTCCACAATCGAGGCTGAGGACCAAATCCAGGTCTTCTCCATCAGGGACATTGGTTAATCTCCCTCTATTTTGTATTTCTTATTTTTTTTAATAATTCGCTTCCTCACATTTCTCTTCTATTTGATTTTATTTTCATTGTGTAAAGCACTTTGTAACCTTGTTTTGAAAAGTGCCAGATAAATTAAGTGTTATTAAAAAGTATGATCAGGTCAAATAAATGAGTTACTCATGCATCTGCTTGTTCTGTTTTCATTAAATGTGTTTGTTTTCAGATGGAACTCTAAAAGTTCAGTCTTCTTTATGTTGCACACAGGAAATGCACAACATGTTAAATCCAGACCAACAAGAGAGAACAAAGGAGTGGTTTTAACCACATTGGTAGAGAAGCAACAAGACGTAAATTCTGAACTAATACACGAACATAACTACACTTTCCATCCTTCAATATCGTGAGTTGAAGGTTTTTTTCTCTTGATTTGAATCCTAAAGTTGGATCTTTTTTCCTTTGAAATGTCTCAAAAACACAAGATGAAACAATGACCTCTGAATATTCTGTTACCTGTTCTCTTGGGCCAATCAGAGAGGAGCTCTGTAATCAGTGCTGGATTGACTGAAGATGTGATCAATCTCACCTCCTCTGGAATGAATCGAGCAAGATTGAACAAAGGAAAAGATCAAGTTCAATTCATGAATTAGTTTTAGTCTTTTCAGAGTCATATTAACAAAGTACATTAAGAGAACTAAATCATTTATATTTTTCTACATAAACACTGACTCTCGAGTGAGAGGTTCACCTTCCTCTCGGCGTAGACATCAACATTTATCAAAAATAATCTACATTGTTGGAGACAATGTGCTCCATAACACTGATTTTCATTAAAATCTCTGAAAGAGTCCAACAGGATTTGATCAACCATACTAAAGTCCACTTGTTTATAATCTTTCATCCATTTTGACCTCAGGACCTACAGTAACAAACTCTACACATCAAGAGAAATGAAATGGAGCTCAGAGAGAAGATAAAAAAAAAGGCTGACATCCTGAGGTTGACTCACTCTAACCCTGTGGTGTGTTTGTAACAGTGAAACAGAACACACACGTTGTGGCATCCAGAACAACAGAGGCTCTATCATGTTCATCTTTATGATTCTGGGTCTGCTGGCTGGCATCCAGGCACAAGGTAGGAGAAGAACATCATCTTATTATTATAATAATGAGAATAATTATTACTTTTAATTTGTGGGGAAAAGGACAAATAACAAAACTAAAAGTTAAATCATGTGATCATCTCCTGTAACTACAGACAGATTAGGGGGAAAACAGTTCAACTCAAGTCAAGTCAACTTTATTTATATAGCACATTCATAACAGCCGAGGCGACCAAAGTGCTCTACAGTAAATTAGGCAAAACACATTACATCCAAAACATCATAAAGACACGTAAAAGCAAAAATTAAAAGTAATTAAAACACAAGACAATAGTAAAAGTTCTAGTAGACACTGCTGCTGGGATAAAACACTCAACTAGAGATAAAAGCCAAGGAAAAGAAATGGGTTTTAAAAAATGACTTAAACTGTTCAGTTGTGGCAGCAGATCTTATTTTAAATGGTAATCTGTTCCAAAGTGTCGGAGCTGCAACAGAAAAGGCTTGGTCGCCCGTAGTTTTGAGCCTTGTTTTGGGCACGTCCAGGAGCAGCTGGTTGGAGGACCTTAGTGCTCTGGATGGAGCATGAACATGTAGTAGTTCACTTAGGTTATGAGGTGTTGAGCCATTTAATGATTTAAAAGCCAGAAGTAAAATAAAATCCTGTAGCGAACAGGAAGCCAGTGGAGAGAACGGAGCACAGGGGTTATGTTGCAACAAAATAAACAGACCCTGTCAATTATTCAGTACTCAATATTCAATATTTAACATTTCACTAGTTGAGGGTATAATCTCACTTTTTATTAGAGAACAGGAATGAGTCTT